GGCATTTCTGCCTTTTTTCCAATTACGTAAGGATTTAGATTTAGTTGTAATATATTTTGACATATCGGACATTGATATAGTCCAAAATGCGTATAGGTATTTTAAGTAAATCTCACTAATTAGACCGTGTGAGGCCAATTACTCATGGACAATCATATGTATATGGTAGGTCGTGACAGTGACAGGTAGTAATGTCATGATAACATTGTTATTGTTTGACAGTTTGTATTAGTATTTAATTAAAATGGTTACACAGAAGTAGAAAATTTAAATATTATAGGAATTAAGATAGAGTAGTTAAGATATTCTCCATAGTTTATTTTAATTCCTAATAATATTTAAATTTTCTACTTCTGTGTAACCATTTTAATTAAATACTAATACAAACTGTCAAACAATATCATGACATTACTACCTGTCACTTTCACGACCTACCGTATATAAGATTGTCCATGAGTAATTAGCCTCACACGGTCTAATTAGTGAGATTTACTTAAAATACCTGTCAATATGTCAAAATATATTACAACTAAATTTAAATCCTTACGTAATTGGAAAAAAAGGCAGAAATGCCTGAAAGAGGTCTAACAATTACAAGATGTTTTATTTTCTTAATAAAAAAAAACATTTCGTTTTTTAATATTATCTCGCCTATTATTAGAGATGGACCCAACAAACCCTATATGACTATGCTCGACAAGGAACGTTCTATCCAAATATGTAAAAATATATAGGGTGTTCCATTTAACTTGACAAAGTTAACATCCGCGGCCATTTTGTTTGAACTTCATTTGTTTTTCTACTATTATTTTCGAAAACTTCATAAAAAATCGTGCAACTTCTGTATTTCACATTTTTTTATAACTCTTAAAACAAAAAAGTTAAAGGGGGGGTAAAAATATAGTGAATCACCCTGTACATTAAAAAAATACGAATCACCAAAGTAAACTAAAGCCTTAAAAACTTAAAATAATTATATCATGAGCTGGTAGAGAAACTACTTTAACCGCTCAGTTATTTGTCGAGAAACGAATTGAACGCATGAACGAAACGAACTCCAGTCAAGAACTTAAGATGCGCGTGATTTTTAAATTTCTCGATTTCTCGACACTTTTTTCTCGTCTCGAGTAAGGCCAGATTTGTCGGGAATTCTCGCTTCGAGAAGTCTTGACCAGAAACCCCAATCTGTGCATTTGAGTAAACCCGATATACCTCCTTAATTGACCAAAATGCGTATTTTACTAAAAGTTATGTTTTTCTATTTCAGTGCCACGGTACACATAACAGTGTCGGACGTGAACGAGTACGCCCCCACGTTCTCGGAACCCAGCTACGTCCGTCAGGTGGACGAGGGGCGCATCTACAATGAGATCGTCAGGGTGGAGGCCACCGACAGGGACTGCACCCCGAAATTCGGGGATGTCTGCAAGTACGAGATCCTCACGTCCGACCAGCCGTTCGTCATCGACATGGACGGCGTCATCAGGTAAAATAATGTCCCCGTTTCTCCGCCCTATGCTCAATAACGATTCAAAACTTTCCTGGAAAAAATTGATTGGTGTACGACCGGTGCCGATGGCGGCAAGAATTCAGTTCTACCGAGCAACAGCTTGGCAAGAAAACGTCAAAAATTTACAAAATAGTGCCAATTTCCTTTGCAATTTTACAAACAGTGCCCGTGTTTCACAAAGACTGTGCCCCAGAACTTGACTCTACTACAAGTCTTTTGCCTTCAGATACAGTTATAAGAAATGTGGTTGTTTTCTTTATTTTGCAGGATTTTATCAAGAACAAAGCCTCGTAAAACAAATACACTGTACTTTAACGTTAGAAAAGTAGTTTACATACCTGCTTTGTTTAAATTTATTGAATTCACGTGCCATTAAAAAAATAAAACTATAGTCTGTTTAGAAATGAAAGAGAGTAATAAAAGCTCATTAGGTATGCAAATCGTAAATAAATGTAGTACTGGTGCTTATATTCAATATTTTTATATTATGCATTTTCGGTATAGATGAGGTGTACTTTTAAAAAAACTTTGTGCGATCGGACTGTACTAAATTGTAGCAGGTAGCTAAAATTTAATCCCCGACAATCCGTCTTTGTCTATGCCGCTTCAATTTCTCGGTCCATTTCTCTTATAAGTAAACAATATAAAAACAGCATTTCAAAACATGAGGCTACTTTAAGCATCATAACCGGGTTAAGAGGGTTTTTAGTAATTCAAATAAAATTATTCAATATTATTATCAAAATATTTATTTAAATTTAATGAATAGACTTTTATTCCACACAAAAATATATGTATTTTGAAAATTCAAATTATGGTGAGTAAATGTAGTGTTGTATAAATGTACAATAAAGAAAATAAAAAAGTAGGTATATTAAAATTCATCCTCTGAATATTCTGATGAATTATCTTCGTCTCCTAGATTGATAACGATAGGTTCCACAGTAACGTCAATTAAATTATCGAGTTCCCACATTTTCTCCTCTTCTTTTTGTACATGATGTATACATCTTTGCCAGTTATCTGCAGTTACTCGTTCCAAGGAATTTTTTAACAAAATTTTCACGTCACTTAATTTAAACGTCGTATTATTTCGCGCTACATCTCCTTTTACCTGCGCCCAGACTAATTCGATTGGGTTAAGTTCACAGTGATAAGGTGGTAACCGTAGTACCGTTATTTGGCGATTTGTTGCCATTTCATCGATAACATATTTTTTCTGATCTTTATTAAGATTGACAAGTGTCAAAAGTTCCTTTTTCACCATATTTGTTTCAAAAGAAATGTTTTTTCCGGATAACCATTGAATTATATCGGCTTTCCTCCAAGCAGTCGTAGGCGTCCGCTCGGTCTGCCGTGAATGGTAACTGGCATTATCCATGACAATTACAGACCCCGGAGGAATAAGATCCAACATCTGTGTAAAATACTCTTCGAAAACATCTGCGTTCATGTCTTCGTGATAGTCACCTGTATTTTTAGATTCAAATAAAAGTAAACCGCCATCTACAAAACCACTGGCACTACCTATATGTGTCACTATTAATCTTCGCCCTTTACCTGAAGGTGCCTTGAACCCTGTTGAAAGTCCATCCAAAAATGCTTGTCGAAAACTTTTTACATTTTTATCTTGCCATACTTTTGTTACAGTATATCCCTCGTTGACCCAAGTTTCGTCTAGATAATAAATATTCCTCCCTTCGTCACGGAATTTTCTAATTGATCTTAAGTAGGATCTTCGCCAACAAATAATTTCATCTTTATCGATAAGAACTGACTTCCTGTTCTGCTTTTCCCAGCAAAAATTCAACTCTCGTAAGACGGCCCATAATTTGCTTCTACTGATTTTTGGCAAATCGTTGTCCTCTGAAAGTTCACTTAAAATTTTGTTTAGCGTTGGTATTTCTTTTTTAAAATAAAATGAGTGTACTTTAGTCACTAAACACAAGTCGAATTTTACTCTACTGCACTAGCACGTCTTCGTATATTCAGCTCTAAGACTGGATTGATCTGTCACAATACACTGGCTCCTGCCCTATGATGTATCCAGTAAAATATACTAATGTACACCCATTACCTGTTAGCATTAGTGTTACCCGATAATTACCTGAAACGAAATATTAGCACGCCCATGGCCGGTTCTTATCTCGGGGTTTTATTACTCTCTTTCATTTCCAAACAGACTATACACTAATTAATCAACGGAGCATTAGACATTGCATTATAAAAATTTAAAAACAAGTTATGAAAACTGTGAGTCGGACAGTCTAAAGTCAATCGCCCAATTAAGCAAAGTTTTATGATAATTTAACTAACAATTTTTTTATCTGTGTTCTGTAAGGAATAGAAAAAATTTCCATTCACTAAATCGACTACAATTACGTCGCTGTACTGATGCCATTTTTTTCTGATAAGTAGTGAACCATACTACAGGCTGTCCCACCAGGAACTCCATCGATGGATGTCTGGGAAACCGCTCTAAGGCTTTTTTTGAAATTGACGGCCCTATCAAAAAAATAAACATATGTTTCCGGGAAAACTAAGTTTTGCTGACTGTTTGCATCGTGTCAATTTTTGCTGAAAAATCAAAATACCGGGTGTTTCATGAAGTTCTCCCGGCACTAATAGAGGATGTTCCTTGGGTTATTTCTAGAAAAAAAGTTTATATAAACATGTGTCCGATTTGCTTTACTTTGTGAGCTACATGAATTTGAAATTTAAATGTAAAAAGTAATAATCAAATTTGTTGCGTTACGTCTCGGCGCGCTACGCATTGGTCAAGTGTGCTCTGACGACATTTGCAAGGTAAAATGTTATCTAGGTTACTGTCAGTTTTGACAAGCTTGCAGTTTAGTGTGAAGATTCAATTTTGCAAATTCGCGAACAATGCCTTTTAAGTTTACGACTGCTGAGTATGCCGATATGGTGTTTGTTTTGGGTAATTGCGATGGAAATGCTACTCTAGCTTCACTGGAATATCAACGGCGTTTCCCAAATCGTCGCATTCCATCCCCGAAAACGTTTACCACAACTTTTCATGCACTCAGAGAAACTGGTTCACTTCCAAGTGTTCGCATTCACTACGAACGGGTAAGTCAGCAGAGTGTTGTAGAAGAAGAGAATATCCTTGCTATGGCCGAGCGTAATCCCGGTGTTAGTACACGACGGATATCCACGCCTTTAGTGATTCCCAATACCAGGGTATGGAGAACATTAAACAAGAATCTGTTGTATCCATACCATCTACAGCGTGTTCAACATCTGGAGCCAGAAGATTTCCCTAGGCGGGTAGAATTTTGTCAGTGGTTGAATAATAATAGGAATTTGTATCGCTACATCTTATTTACGGATGAGTCACAATTTACCAGAGACGGTATCAACAACACCCATAACATGCATCAATGGTCGGACGTCAACCCTCATGCCACCGTAGAAAGTAATTTTCAACGTAGATTTAGCGTTAATGTGTGGTGTGGAATGTTATACGATCAACTTATAGGGCCATTTATTATTGAAGGTCGTCTTAATGGACCAAAGTATCTACAATTTTTAGAGGAAGAACTCCCGCGATTGCTTGAAGATGTACCTCTGGCAAGACGATTAAGAATGTACTTGCAACATGATGGAGCTCCACCTCATATTTCCCGAATTGTCACTGCTCACCTAAATGAGCATTACCCTGGTCGCTGGATCGGTCGAGGTGGGCCACACATTTGGCCAGCTAGGTCTCCAGACCTCAATCCGTTAGATTACAACATGTGGGGTTGGATGAAGGATTTGGTTTATCAAGAGAAAGTAGAAACACGCGAAGCTCTAATCCAAAGAATTGTTAATGCTGCAACGCAAATAAAAGAAAAGCACGCGAATATTAGAAATGCAACGCGAGCAATTCACAGGCGTGCTGACAAATGTATTGAAGTAGGAGCTGGAATTTTCGAAAACCTTTTAAATTAAGAATGTATGTATCACTATTACCGATGTTCTAAAAATAACAATGAAAATTAATTTTCATTATTTTATTTTCAAATTCGTGTAGCTCAATAAGTAAAGCAAATCGGACACATGTTTATATGAACTTTTTTCCTAGAAATAACCCAAGGAACATCCTCTATTAGTGCCGGGAGAACTTCATGAAACACCCGGTATCTCGGAAACGGTCAATCGTAAGTATGGGGTGTGGTTATATGTATTAAATTTAAAAATAGATGCACTTTCCAAAAATACAATAATATATAGGGGGTTCCATTTAAAATAAGAAAGTTAGTATCCGGTTAGTATTCCGGCATAACCAGAAGTATGATGAGCTTGAAAATATTTTAGCTTGTAGGGCTGTCACAATTTCAAAAAAATCCTTCGAGCGGTTTCCCTGATATCCATCGATGGAGTTCGTGGTGGGACACCCTGCATATAAAATACACATATATGGATTTAGAAAAACGACGGAAAGTTGCATATTCGTTCAAGCAAATATGTGCCGTGATTTCGTCAGTCTTTCTCTCAAGTGACGTCACCACATGCTCGTATGCACACCGTACTTTATATTCAACAATTCAGTTTTATTATAGTGACATCTGTGACGGTTATAATATATCTAGTGGCGTTTTTTTATTACATCGTGATTAAATATTTTGATATTCTTTCATTGTGGGAAGGATAGACGCAAATATTGATAATTATCGGTGCAACCGCTTGGAGCGTTGCTTATGATTAGTTATCGGCACTGAGATGCGAATCCATAGTGTTCTGTTATACAGGGTGTCACGAAATTCATGCAACAAAATTTGGTCATAGATTCTTAAGACAAATTTCCCGGAACCGTTTTATTTCTTTTTGCCAACTGGCCCTCTCTTTCGGAGTTACAGCCCCCTGAAATCTGCCCCTAAGAAGTCTTTTTTATATCTCTAAGCCATATATGTTGTACGAGAATTACTAAATATGGTACACAGGGGTTTCATGACATGTGGAATCTCACAGTGCCAGGCTTTGGAGGTCTTTGAAGCCAGAAAAATTTGGTCGCAAATTCGATCACATTTTGACATTTTTCTCGAAAACATTGCGTTTTACGAAAAAAGTATAAAGAGACAAAAAGTTTCTAAATTTAATATCTTTCTTGTGGACTGATAATTTTTAAGAAATTTAAATATGCGACCAAATTTTTTTGGTTCCAAAGGGGGCCCACGAAAAATTGTCTTAAGGGGGTTCCCCGCCAAAAAACGTAGCACCATCAGATTCCACATGTGTACCAAATTTAGTGATTCTCTTACAACAGGGTTCTGAGATATAAAAAAAATATTATTCTTAGGGGGCTGTAACTCCGCTTATTTTAATGTATTCTATAGCCTGTTAAAATTAAGGCAGTCAAACTTCCAACACCCTGTCGCGTTTTACGACGTAATCAATCAATAAACAATGAACAACAGTTACCGAAATTATTACTTGAACTAACGACAAAGCGTAGGTACACCTACTAGTAGTGACGTCACTAGGCCGTGACGCGTAAGACGCGAGGCTTCGTACTGCAAGTGGTAATTCCTCAATTCTCACGATATTCTTCCAGAAACACCGAACCCTTGGACTACGAGCGCTCCCACAACCACATACTCTCCGTCATCGCCTACGACTGCGGCATGCGACAGAGCTTTCCCGCCCTGGTCACCATCAAAGTCAACAGGGTGTGCCGTCTCGGCTGGAGGGGCCTCCCCGAGAGGGTGGACTACGCCCCCATGACGGGCAAACAGGAATTGTTCCCCTCGGCCGGCTTGGAACTGTGCGACGTGCCTTGCAACGTGAGGGAATTGAGGACTAGGGTCGATTTGGCCACCAGGTGAGTCTGTGTTGCACTTTAAGTCGCTTTGTAACTGTTGGTTGTCTCGAATAACAAGTTTCTTGGGGAGTAGAAAGGGAACGGCCGCTGAGATCGCCAGATCTGAGCCCTATTGACTTTTTATGAGACTGCTGGGTAATCTGTGTATATTCTAGCGTTAGAGGCGTGTGTGGTGGAAGAAAAACTAAAGAAAAAGTTGAAAAAAACTGACGATACTTTATTGATCCCGAAAAATGAATGGGGAACATTTTGGGAAATTTTTTTTTAAGATTGAAATTTAATTATGCCTTATTCGAATCTACAGTTTAACTCCATAACAAAGAAAACCTCAAACCACTGAAAAAATATTTTCAACAAGTTAAATACTGTCAAAATTTAAAATTGACTTTTTGAAAAAGGAAGGTCTAAACAGTTTGTTACTACAAAATACGTCAGTCAATAACCTTTCAAGTTAAAGTTGTAACCATCCCATCGACGTGTACACAACAATAGTCGATACTCGCTGCCCCTCCTAGAAGAATATTTGGTTGCATAACACTGAATATATTCCTTCCAAGGTTTCCTCCGTTTAAATTATGTAAATCACATCTCGCAATCGCGTTATTTATTGTTTATTTGCGTTTTTTTTACTGGTTTTGAAATTGCCTCACAAATGTATTAAGTTTTTTGTGGAAACACGAAAAAACTCCATTAGAAAAATGCACCTGATTAAATTTGAAATCGAACCTTGATCTTATCGTGATTATATAATCTTTCGACAACTTTGTATCGCATTATGCGACACCTAGTCATCAAACTTATTGTTTTGAGAACCGTAAGATAATTTCGTCTTTAGATTAGATCTATAGATGGGACACTTGTACTGATTAGATAACACTAAAAATTATCGAATCTCTCCAAACTTCATTAAAAAAAAGAAACAATTGGATTTCGTTTATTTGGAATTTCCAACAACGTGAATCAAGTATAAAAGCGGTTCATTTGGTAATTTCTTTGATCTTTCAAGCGAATTTGCAGGTATTTATAAAAAATCAACTCAGTTATCTAACCCGTTGCAAGAATGTGACATGATTTGAATGATTAAACAATTAAGATAATGTTTATGTAAATATTTTTATTTTGCTGTATGCATTACATTTTATATATAAATTGTGACTAACATGTACGAGTACAGAATGCTTGTTAGATCCAATTGCCTTGGAAATAGATTCCTTAAAGAGAGAGAAATTTAGTTTGTTGTTTTGAACCATTGAAGGGAATGTACATTTTTGTTAATCTTCTTTCATCACCACCATAATATTAATTCATCAATTGAAACGTTTCGGTAAAACTAGCTAGCTTTTGTGAAACATCTTTCCAAAGTATGCAATTGTTGATGGTCTCACTAGAAATACATATTTTTGAAAAGTCCTGTTTATTTTGTAAAGCACATCGTACATCCAAAATACCAACTAAACTGTAATATTTGAAAATTTTGTTAATGACCTAGAAAGTTAACTAACGGTATTCGCCAAAATGACCTTTTTAAGTCAATAAAACGATAATTACTAATGCATCTTGGATTTCAGTTCATATAGATACATTTTTTAATTTGTGCAAATAGGTACTATTGTATTATATGAGATTGTAGCTGCTAGCCTTGTTTAGTGAGTGAACCTGGTAATATTGAAGGAATTGAAAGAAATAGTACGGGTCTCATACTTTTTAACCTACTTTCATTTTGTGATGTAGTTGAAAAGTTGCCAGATTTGGTTGAGTTTATGAACTGAAATTTGTTAAATAGACGATACAGATTTAAAATTTTATCTGTCTGATCCTATTCTAATAGCAATCGGGCAGAATTAAAGATCTGCATTGCTCGTTTTATAGATTTCAGTTCACAAGTAGTTCAAATGTACCAATTTAATTTATTGCACTTACAGTAAGATTTTTGTGATTGCAAAACAAATTTAACTTTTTGCTGTAGTAGAACAAGTAAATACGATTATAAACAATTATTTCTGGCTAGCTTCTTAATTAGTTAGTAGTAGTTGTTAGATTTGGTACAGCATAAAACTTTTTTTTTTAATAAAACGTATATTTTACTTATCATAAACTAAGCCACTGTCTATCTCAGGAAAGAACAAGGAAATTAGCAAAATGTAAACAAATCTACAACTATGTATCAAAATGGCTGCCAAATCTACAACGTATGTATCAAAATGGCTGCCAAATTTGCGACGTATGTATCAAAATGGCTGCCAAATATGCAACGTTTGTGTCAAAATGGCTACCACCATATCTTCCCCTATCGCTTATATTTAACTGTGGTTAAAGCTCAGTATACATCAAATGAGATGATTAATACATAACCTAGAGCAGGGGTCGGCAAGTAATTTTAGGTGGGGTCCGGATACTTTTAAAAATTTTTAACGAGGTCCAGGAAAAAATTAATATTTCTTACAAATTTTCATTTGGACTCAAATTTATTCTGCTTACTAACCATTAAGAACTCAAAACACTCACACAATTGTAAAATACTAGAAAAAATTATAAGGTTGGCACGCAAACGTAAAAAACATTTTTTAAATCATTTATTTGAGTAATTTATGCTTTCAAAAAATTTTTGGCGGTCCAGTATTTTACCTTCCGCGGTCCGGACCTGGACCGCGGTCCGCCAGTTGCCGACCCTTGACCTAGAGTAAATAAATATCAAGGTCTATTTACCATATAATTTAGGCTAAATGCGTTGGTTCTATTTATTTAATTCTTTAAAAAATGGGGTTTATTATATGAAGGAATGGCGACATTAATCATTTAAAGAAAAGAAACAACATACATAATTATAATAATAATTAGACACATTATAAAAAATATATTAAAACAAAATTGGCTATTCTAGAGCGAGACTAGAGTAACGGAAGAGTAAAAAAATATTTATATATGGTGTTGTAGTGTTTTGAATTTTTCCATTTAACGGAAACTTGGCAAAGCAAACAAAAAATACTCTCAAAATTTACAATTTGTAATAAAAAATGAAAAAAATCCTACCATAATCAATTCGTATGCTAATACTAAAAGTCTACAAAGTAATTTAGGAATCAGTGTTTCTGTTGTTGCTTTTAAACAATACACTACATTTTAGTGTATGAAACGCTCTATATTTACAGTAATAATGAATTAGTACACGGGGAATGTTATCAAAATGCTGCCATGGCATCACAGTTGTATTGTTTTCCTTTACGGTTTAATCCGCAGCTTCTAACTTTGTTTACTTTATTCAAAGGGCTCGAGAACAAGGCAAATCACAGCGAGCATGTCGTTATTTTGGAGTTTGGAAAATCTTCGCCTTCATCTTGTCCCTTTAACCGTCTTAACCATTAAACACACACTTCAGTTCGTGAAACTGCACGTCGGGTATGCTCCCGCTGAACTCGCAGCCCTTGTCCTCGTTCTGGCAGGCCACCCGCAACGTCTCTAGGATATCCTCCAACGCGAAGTTCCTGGAGTTGCCGATGAAGGCCTTGCAGAACGGGCACACAGCCATCTTGGACTTGCACGACTTGCACACCGTGTGTCCCAGCGAGCAGTTGTACACCGGCGCGCACATGTATTCGTTGCAGATGGGGCACTCGAAGTTCTTGCCCAGCGTCCCGATCTTGAGCAGTTGTTCTCTGGGGTACTTCTCGGTGGTGGGCTTGAAGTTGTCCTGTAGCTTGACGGTGTAAGTTAGGATGAGGTTGTCCGTCCTGTTGAGGCTCTTGAACTTGGTCGTGAGAAAGTTGAAGCTGTTCTGTTTAACTAGACCTGAGGAGAGAGACGTGTGTCATTTTTTGGTTGAATTTGGAGCGTACCGTAAGAGCAGGGGGGTCAATCTAAGAAATGACCACTGGATATTCGACGAGCTAGCTTGAATGCTTACCGATTCTTATGAATTTGACCAGGTGCAGCCTGTCGTTGAACGGTTTGACTTCTTGGTTCTTCATGACGAAGTGCGAGTTGTCGTCCTCAGACTCTAGAGTTATGGAGGCGGTATATTTGATGTCGCATTGCTTCTTGCAGAAGGAGAAGACGCCGAACTGGTAGTCGTAGCTGATGATGTCGCCCGTAGTTTCGTTGTAGTTGCAGTCGCTGTGGACGAAGACGAGGAAGGGCATCTGCCGGAAGAGTATGAGGCACACCTGATTGTCGGAGCTGTAGTTCCATACCTTTTCTTCCTTGAGGATTTTGCGGGCGCTGACCAGGTTGTTGGAGAAGACGTACCTGGAGCCGGAAAAAATTACTTTAAAATACCTATCCATCCGTTTGCGCAAGCGCTTCAACGCACTGAGCAGTTGCCGAGTCGTGCGTCAAAGAAATTATTTAAAATTAAACCCCTAAGAGGAAGAGGACAAGTAGTTCGCTTACCCTTTGTGGAACTTGTCGAAGTGGGGGAGCACGTCGCTGATCTGGTACTTGCTGTCGCAGTAGTCGAACGGGCAGGCCACCGTCCTCCACTGGCACTCCTTGTGGTACTCCCCGACGGCGGCGGCGGGCATCCTGCTCAGGGCGAACTTCCTCTCGAAGGAGGAACAGCAGAGCACGACGCCCTGGCGGCAGCGCTCCTCGTGGCGGGGCACCTCGTCCCAGGGCAGCCTCTTCTCGCAGTAGGTGCAGGGGAAGACGGCGAACTGGGCCAAGCGCTCGTACGCCATGTTGCGGTGCCAGCCGGGATCGCAGCGGCCGCAGCTGATCTTGTCCTCGTGCGTGGTGATGGGCGGGATGGAGAGGTAGCGCCGGCAGAGGTCGCAGCGAAGGTGCTCCACCACGTGATCGGGGACGTACATGGTGGCGCTCGAATCTGCAAGAACGGGTTAGGTTTATACAGGGTGGTTAAATCGTAATGTCATTCAGTTTCAGGATTCGGAAGGCCTAATAAAGACAGAAAACCGAAGTGCAACGGATCGGAACTTTATAACAAAGGGATATGGACGAATTAGTGTTGTTTTAGCCCTACTGGCATTTTAAATAGCCATAAGTCACTAGGTATACGAACTACAAAATAAATAATTAGTGGAACATAATACTAAAAACTCATATTCAAATATAAAACATAGTGAAACCGTTAACAATATTAAAAATACTAAATTGTAATAACCAAACATTCAGAACCAATTATTATCCTTATACATTTGTTTTTATTAACAAATAAATACTTGTTAATATTTAAAATGTAAAAAAAAACATCTCATTCATTCATCCAGGTAGAAAGCTCTGTTTATTTCTTCTCTTCTCTTCTGCGGATTAAAAACGCATTAAAAGCTAGGTTAATGACGGAATAATACGGTAGGTCAATCTTGATTTACTCTCGATAAACCTTTTTAGGTCAGCGGTCAAAAGCGGTTCGAAAAGATGTTTAAATAATGATGTGAAATTTTTTTTCGACGTTTGCATACAGTTGTGTCCTTCGTGTTTTATCATTTAGAGAAACGTCTTTTCTTGATAAACAGTTTTAAAATAGACTCGGCAAGAAAATTAAGGGAGCAGAAAAATTACTGTTTTGGATCAACGACTACTTTGCAAATATTGCGAAAAGTACGAAGTAGGTTTATTTCTCCTTAAATATCAATTAATCAAAAAAATATTCAAAATTAAAAAAATAATACATTTTGGAAAAAAATAAATTTTTCAAATTTTTTTTGCATTATATTTTTTACAATTTTACATTGAATATTTCAAATGATGTTGAAATTAAAAAAAATATATTTGAAAATAGTCAGAAAATCATAGTGAATCATTTTCTGTTCAGTTTTGACGAGATTTTTTTTCGCATTTCGTCGTATTTCATTGAGTTAAAATTAATTGAATGAATTTAAATTGAATCTTCATGCATTTTTTACACGCATCACTACAATTTATTTCGAAAAACTGTTTTTTTTCAAAACTACCAATTTTTTTCATTAACAAAAATAATCTTTTTTGACATTTGATAAGAATTCACTGTGGAAAAAATAACGCAAACATTTTTTGAAAAATTTGATTTATTTTCAAAATTTTGACATTTTTTTTTTTACTCATCAAGTATTTAGCGCGAAATGAGAAAAATAACGCAAGAACATTTTTTTCATCTTAATCATGATTAATAATTGATGTTTAAGGAGCAATAAACCTGCTTCTTTATTTTTTTTATGAAACTTTGACCATTCACGAAAGGAAAACGGTTCTACCGATTCATTTAAAAATTTACAGACCTCATGGGCATGTACTGAGTTAAAATGAAACATGTATTTATAGCCTTTGAAAAATCACTAAAAAAATTTGGAAATTTTTTTGCTCCCTTAATTTTTTTGCGGAGTATATTTTTTGTGTTGCCGTGTTAAACTATAATGTTGTCTTAAATCGTTTTTAAAGACCCTTTCGACATAGTAGACTGTCCAATTCAAAATATATTCTAACATCCCGACTTATCCTTTTTGTTTATTGTATGTAACTGTAACTCATCGGAATTAATCTCAAGAGTTCTAAGAACTGAGAAATTATTATTATCAGAACATACAGTTTAACGTCAGTTCTGAACCTCGTCCTGCACCAGTTACAATTTTAGGTTACTTATTTCAAAAAGTTTAACATTATAAATAGTGACGTCACCAATGGCAGTGTTTCCTATAAACTGTTTCGTCAAGAAAAAATGCCTTAGGTGATACACTTATAGAAACCTTTTGTGGTTTATTTATTCTTGTATTTGTACACCCACAAACCAAACACCGCTTTTATCTACTCGCCTTCATACGGGTTTTGTTTTAAAGTAGCGAAAGTTCCTAACCGACATCGGGTAAACGGGAAATTTTGTCGTTAGCTAGTGGTCCGTTCCGCAAAGTGACGTCACACTCGCTGTTCGCACTGCAGGTACCTGCGATAGCGTATTTTCTTAAAGCACTGTGTTTAGTTTGTGAATCGCAATGTCGATGATCTCCGACATTTACCTAGATTGGGTCAGCTTCATAATAATCCGCCTGCTGTGATATGACAACCACCCAAAGAACGATGAATTTTTTAGTGATTTTTAGAAAAGCTGTATCTCAGTCGAGATAAACAAAAAAGCATTTTAAAGCTTTAAGCCTCTAGTTTCAAGATTTCCAGACAAAACATTTTTTGGGCTACGGTTATCGAGCAATCAAAAGAAGTACCTCGAGAAAAAAAGTTCCATTTTTTTTTTTCACTTTCTGGTCGTGGAATTTTCCGTTTTGGAGACCAGAATTGGCCGCCCAGATCATGTGATTTAACGTCTCTTTGGGGTTTTTTGAAGTAAGGTTAACGCCAATTTTTAATTAAAGACTTGTGTTTTCTATCAAAATTACCTATTGCGTGAATTTTGGGACATTCTTTCTAATAGAATGTCGCACCCTTCGCTTTCAGGACATTAAACATTGCTTAGGAAGGGTTGTGTTTTTAGCCAACATTGTTACCTTAGAAGCTTAGAAGAAGAAATTAGAATTTATGTACTTTAGAAGTTAAATTATTATCACTGGGCTAATGTTTTTATTTCTAATGGTTCTAAAAATACGTTACAATGCAAAAAGTGTGCATGAAATACTTGGATTGTTTGTAGAGCAGCTGCATTATCTCAGTAAGAAAACAGTGTCAACATTTCAGTGCAATCTGTCCACAGAATTACAAAAAAAAAACACATTGTTTGAGACTTTACATTTAGATAACAAAGCATCTTGACAGAACTGAGGTACTTACAAATGTTTTATTACCGTATTGTGCATAAAAATCGGGCAAATTCCACGCCACAATAATGTCAATTGTGATTTACATTGCTGCAAAAAAATCCAGTGCGTAATTATGAAACAAAGATAACGCGTTTTCCTAAACATCGCGCGAAGCGACTCAATCCGACGATAACGAACAAAAGACGCAACCAAAACGAACCTGTCAAAATAAACACGGCCTACCTTGCCCCAAAGGGAACTCCATATCGATGCACTCCCGAAACAATCGACGATCGACGTCGCGCACACAACCACACGCGTCGCACCGCGCCTTATTGTGGCGAATTCCGGCCGCGTCTAGGTGATACTTCCTTGCTTCTTTGTTCGCCGTACACGCCTCGACATTGGGAAACCTGCGGGTTCAGTAATTCGAATTGTAATCGCGGAAAAAAGCGGGCCCCCAAGGTCGGGCGAGGCTAGGAAGTGTCGGCGTCGACGGTCGAGGTAGCGCTGACCGCTTCGTTTGTTTAAATAGGTGACTGTGTTGATTTGGAAAAACGAGGAGCGACACGATTCGCCTTTGGTTAGGTGGAGGGGAGGGGGGGAAAGATAAGATATCGTCCGTTTTGTAAGCAGCGGAACGGCAGATTTTTAATTGGTTGTAAAGGAGATTTACTGCAGATTTGCTAAAAATAGCGGGTATACCGGGAACGTTATCGAGAGCTGTCGCGATTTGCGATTAAAATTTGCTTCGGCACATTCGCGGGGTGACCTTGCCTTGTCGGTTCAAGTTTGACGCACTCTGCGATTTTTGCGGTGGAAATACAGGGTGTTTCATAACTCTACTGACGCAGAGCTTAAAATATGCCGATTTGTTGACGTAACATTTTTTTCTGGGATGTACCGTTAAAGAGATAATGGCCTCTGAAGACGAGTGTTAAATTTTGAAAAACAATAATATTTGAGCAATGCCTTAACATAGTGCAACCAAATATGGTGCGTGATTTGCGTTTATTGTTATCTTTAATTAATGAAACAGCGTCATTACTAATAGTCCAGTTGGTAGAGGTTCGGCCTGTGTCAAACCTTGATAACCCGGAAATAACTACACAGGCCTACTTTAAATGATGAGTACAATAACAGGCTAATTTGCTGACAAAGTATTTTATCAGGAAAAAAAGTTATTAACAATTTAATAGTGAAAAAAATTTTTTTAGTAGTTTTCTTTAAATAACTCAGCGGGATGACTTTGTACGAAAAAATGCTTAGGATATGAATTTGTTCGTAATACAAATAGCTACAAAATGGCGGTGGTCCGATTACGAAGTTTGTAATAACAAAGCCGTGAGATTGAAAAAAAGGTATAAAACGTCAATTTTTTAAAGTTGCTGTAAAAATGTCAATTATAATCAAAAAGTGATAAAACTTTCGAAAACTATAGTTCAATATACAGGGTGTTTTTGAATGGAGTAGCATAAATGATACCAGTGAATCTACATTTCAAAAGAACACGATCTGCAAAAAATCACCTTGGTAAAATGTTCACCCCTGAAGAGATATGGAACATCAAAGTTTCCAAAAAAATTATGAAAATTGGCTGTAATTTGAAAACCGAAAAAGGTACAAATAACAAATTTTTTACAGGTTGTTTACTAATACAGATGCGAGTTTTCAACTATTTTTCGAAAATTTTAACCCCTCGAAAGGGGTTGAAATAACCACCCCTCAAACCATTTTTTGCCATAACTTTTATATTTCGTAAAAACTCGATATCCAAAAATACGCATTAGATAAACTGGTTCTTTTAGAAACTTTTATCTCTCTAGCAATTTTCCTTTAAAACTTTTCGTTTATTAATAAAAAAATAAAATGTATTACCATTCACCTCACACCGTATATGATTGCAATCAATCAAAGAAAAACTAAGTGTGCTGCTGTCATGCCAGTTGTCACAATTAACTCTTCTGTAAGTTGTCA